CGTTCCGTGATGACCGGCATTTCACCTCTGTATGAGCCGCATGGCTTTCTCGACTACAGCCGGGACTGTTTTTTTTGCTGAGCATGAGTCGAGCCGGCTCTCTCCTACGCTGTCACTTTTGCTTGCCATCATAGTCGGAAGCTGGGATTTGTCGGTTGGGAGGTATTGTATAACAGGTGAGCTTGCCGGCTTTCTATTCATGATACCGGCTGGAGGGATTGTAGGCGTGTGTTCCATTCAAGTAATACCGCCGGATCCCTAGTTAAAACTCCTTTTTCCGTACCCACATCGTCCCTCCCCCGTCATGCTTCTCTAACCTTTGAAACTACCTCACAAACACAATCAAAATCTTCAGCAGACATCACCGGTCTTTCGAACTCTTTCCAAATCCCAGTTTACTCACCCCGACTCGGTACCGTCTTCCAAGTTTCAACCAACTACGCTCAAAACATAAACGCAATGGGTGCCGAATCGTCAAAGCCTGTCGTTTACATGTGGAAATGCATCATCTGCACGCACATGAACAGTATGAGCGACCAGTGGTGCGACCAATGCGGCAAGCGCTGTTCGGACAAAGCCTGGGCCGCACACAAGGCTGCCGCGAAGCGATATAAGCCCTATGGATGATTGTTCTTTGGATGGGCGATCTGCGCGGGTTTGGGTAACGTTCTGTTGGATTCGGTGATTTTTCTGTCTTTCTTGTTTTAATGCCTCGCGATTGTTTGATGTTGCACGCTCGAGTGTTGGGAATCTCGCTTTCTCGCTTCATGGCTTGTAGGTCGCTTCTTTGCGCGCTTCGGCGCTTCCAAATATCCTTCCTCCAACCTGCCGATTGTGCGTGTTTCCAGTACTATGAATCTTTCTTGCTTTTCCAGACATTGTGAGTTCCATGATTCTACCGTTGTGACAGCTATGGCTCCGGGTTCATGCAGATATCGTATCGAGTAAGGCTGGCGACGATCAGTGTTCTACATAGACCCGACCGGTCGGCCGACCGATCTGGTCAGTCGGGATATATCCCGACCCGACTTTGGGTTTTGTCCGTCGGGATAAAATTAAGTAGACGTGACTTAGGGTTTAGTAGGTCGGGATATATCCCGACTCGACCAGACCTAAAATATTTTGGTCGGGATATATCCCGACCCGGCCAGACCATGCCCAAATTTGGTCGGGACTGGTCTATGTAGAACACTGAACCTTTTATCCTTTTCCTCGCTCATTCTCTGGACTCCGCCCATTTCTTTCTTTTACGTACCCTCTGTTGAATGTGTGCTAAGGTGCGGGGGCCGGGGTGGATGTCGGAGAGTGAGGAGGTTGAATGGTGGGGAAGCGGCGAAGTGAGGTGGTGTGGTAGTTGAGTATTGGGGTGGTAGGGGAAAGAGTATGCGCGGATGATCTAGGCGCAAAAGGGAGGATCTATGTAACGCTCAAACAGCAGTTTTCGCTCGTAAAATTGTTCAGCCCCCCTCGTCAGACCACTCAGCGATCGTGCGGGAGACCTTTCGGTCTTCCGCTGCATGTCGGGCCCACGTATCTGCCGTCGCGTTCCGGGGTATGGTTACTCTCCAGGTATACCTAGAGTACAGTGTGGTATGTATGAGTGATGTTTACGATGGCGATACACCTCATGTCACTCGAGCCTTCCGCAGCCGTGTGAGGGTCTAGTTGACACTTTCGGGTGCGCTAACCTGACATCACAATTCATGCCTCTGTACAGGGTCACGGTACTAGTAACTGGTGACCCGGGGGCCGGTTCTCACCCATCCGAGAACAGAGCACCACCGCTCACTCGTCACTAGCACAGCTTGGCCAGACAATGCACGGACGGCAAAGTGGCGTCTATGTACTGATCGTGGATGATTCAGCTGGTGGCTGGCTGGACGATGGCCACAGTTAACTAGAGTAGGTACTCTAGCCCTCATCTGTTAAGCAGGCAGATGTCGGATTTCAAAGTCCGGGCCGGAGTCCCGAAGCTGTACACTTCCATCCCATCGTATGCTCCCCGGCGGCTGGGATTCGAAATACTCACCCACATCCCCCCGTCCTCCTCCTTCGCGCGGAGATGCATATTTCAGCGCCGTCGCCGATGTTTCTCTCTCTGTTTCTCTCTCATCTCATCTCGTCTCGCCAGTCGAAATCGAAATTCAAAATCGAAATCGAAACACACATCCCACGTTCGGGCCGTGCGTGGGTGAGGTGAGCGGCATGCGCTCGTGATCCCTGTCCAAGCAACCCTTCCGCCTCCCCGCGCGGCTCCGTTTCTGACGTGTCAGATTTTTGTAGCGCCCACGCCGAATTTCTGCCCTCCTTGGGGGCGGGGGGGTTGGGTACGTGCTAGTGTGTAGTGTGAGGCCTTTTCTGCCTAATACGTGTTCTGGAGCGGTCGGCGATGAAATGTGCTAGCATATGGCAGGTGGCGGGGGGTACTGCGTCCTGGACTGGTTCGGTGGAGGGGCGAGGGGTGGAAATGAGAGGCGCTGGACACCTCGCTCGCTCGCTAACTGAATCGACGCGGAAGGGCTGTACCGCGCCGTACCGTACCGCACCGTACGGATCATCGCTCCTTATCTGTCAAGCTGCTGCTGACGACGACGATTTGGAATTGTTGACATGACGATAACTAGATGTCTATGTGCTCTACTCTGGATACATGATACATGATCCATGACACCTACATCACGCACCGGCAGTTCAGTTCAGTTCACATGCTCTTGGCTCGAGCTCGTTATCTGTTCGTAAATATCGGGATAATCAACTAGGTATGTGCTCCACAGTAGTTGCTGGACCTCCACGCGGCAGATCCAGCTCGACACGTCGTCGTCGCTCGGACTGCATTCCCGAGGAGATGTATTGGACAGCGGAGAGTTCCGCTGTGGACAACTCGCTCATGCAAGATCATAGGTACTCTACACATCTATTCTACTCTAGCAGCGGCGAGATTATGGGGGATTCACCCGGACCCGGGGGCCGGATATCGATAGAAAGTCAATCGTACATATGTAAGTGCTTTCACGGGTGCGGTACCGAGCAGTGCGAGTGGGGGGCTGGCATTTACCATGACCAATGAATAGTCTCCTCTAGGGAAACGAAGCAAGCCACAGGGCCCGGGGGAACAGGGAGTCGCGACGAGTGATCGGCAGTGAGCTGGCGGTGGTCGGTTCGAAATCGGACTGTTTAGGTTCGGGCCTGACAGTCCCAGGCTCTCACTCAGCAACTTTTAAATTCTCGACTGGTACAGCCTGCGAGTCTGAGGTGAAATTGAAGCTGCCGATGATTTGCCTGTTCCGGCACGGCGACGGGGTCCGGAGCGGGATGAACACCGTACCTATGGTACATATCACTCTCGATGTGGCGCGGGCCCGAGGGAAGCCACGGATACATACTATACTACCTATGCCCGCTGGGGATGCGTGGGGTGGAGGGTCAGCACCATGGGAGGTGACTCGGTGATCTGTGGACTGGCGCGGCCGATGACCCGTGGACTGGCGCGGCCGATGACCCGTGGACTGGCGCAGTCGATGACCCGGGTCGCGATGATATCACTGCCGCTACATACCTACATACGTGACACGCATCACCGTTGCATCGCTCGACTAGAGGTTGGAGTATGACCGCGCTGACAGACCTGAAGTAACGGCATATAGATTGACGTCGACTGCTGACTGCTGACTGCCGCAAACGACGCAGCGGAGAGACTCATCGTCGAAGCACAGAAGCCGGATGCTGGAGAAGGTGCGTGCCTTACCCTCTCCCCGCCATTGGTCACGAAGAACAAGAAGAAGAAGAAGAAGAAGAAGAAGAAGAAGAAGACGAACACAGTGGCAACATGTCCGGGGGGGGGGAGGGGGGGACGGCCAGCTGAAAAGTTACCAGATAGGCACGGTGCATATCGGATCGTTCTCGGGGATGCGGTTTTGGGGAACATAGGTAACTAGGTACATAGTTACCTATGCATACCAACAGTGCAGAATCCGAACCTACCCGGGCAGCGGGACATGGATATAGACGACCGCTCGCGTTCAGGCTTGGATGTCGGGACCCAGAGCCTTCCCAGTTTTCTCACTGGTGGTGGTGGTGGTGGTGGTGGTCGTCTTTCGTTCATTCGTACCAGCTGAGGGGTACGAAATACCGGGTGGACGCAAGTGCAGTACAGTACAGCAAAGTACAGTACAGTGCAGCGCAGTGGAGTGCAGGTTAGGTTCCACCCACCTCTACTATCCTTCGCTCCACGTAGGCACGTATCCGCAGACTCGCAAGCGAAAGGGCAGAGCACGTATCCGACGACTTGTAGATGCGGTTGGGAGTTGATGCGCACTCGCACTGTTTCTCGATCGCAACAACTGCCGACAGACGCCCCCTTCCCCTTCCCCCCACAGTTCCGGCGATTTCCGATCTATCCGGACCCTTCTGGATGCTCCGGAGAAGGTTCGGTGTGGTTTGAGGATCAGGATGAGGATGAGGATGGGCATGCAGGCACGCAGCAGAGTCCCGCGTGCTAGTTATCGGCTTAGGGTATTGCCCGAGCCTTGAGGAGGGAGAAGGAGGATGACGTTTGTGCTGGTTGGATGGCAGATGCAGATCGATTGCCATTGCCATTGCCCGACCGTGAGTTTCGCTTTTTTTCTTTTCTTTTCCTTTGCTTGCTTGCTTCTCTCGGAGAGTCGGAATCTCGGCAGATGCTTGCTGCTGGCATGAGATCTGTCTGTCTGTCTGTCTAGGAAAGCGGATACCGAGAAGCACACCCGCCGTTTTCTTACAGCTAACGTTCCGTGCGGCGGACTCAGTTAGATGTATATTTTGCCCGGCATATATGGATACTTGAGCAAGTACTCCGGGGGTTTACCATTCGAAATCGATTCCGGGGAGTTGTTCCGTTTCGCCCAGTACCAGTGTACCACTCGGAAGGATCAATCAGTATCACCCGCTCCCCAAGAAAAAACCGATGAGGGTTCCCCTTGCAATTAGGGCGGGCACTTCAGATATCTCTCGACCAAGCCACCGGTTATTTCGGGTGTATATCGACGGCGAGGGGGGTGGGCAAGAACTTTGTTTAGAGCAAGCATCACTGCAGCAACGGCCCGGATATATGGACCGCCTGATAGCATTATTGCTGTGATAGGCACATAGATTTGGAGACACAGCGGGAGCATGCGTCCAGCTCGGAGCCGGAGCGGAGCAATCAACTGCACGTGTGCAGGTACAGCTACTATATGTACTCTAAAGTATGGAGATATATATTAGAACAACGGGAGAGGGAAGGAAACCCGAACACACGCACGAACACACGAACGCACGCAGGCAAGCACGCGTATCTTTCCCTCCCTCCCTCCCGCGCCCCACACAATGTCTCGGTAGATGGAGATGGACACTCCTCCTCCTACACTGGCTGCAAATGGGAGTTTGGATCTCCAACGTACCTTTGATACGCGGCTGCGGATCGTATCTGGGACGGTGCATGGGCATGGGCTTGGGCGTGGGCGTGGACGTGGGCATGGGCTTCCGCTCTGTGGGCGTGCGAGAGACCTTCTATAGTACCTACATAGATCCTCCCGAGGCAAGAATCAGAATCAGAGCCGGAAGTGCAGTTTCGAAGTCCGTTGCGACACGGGACCCAGGGGTGCACCTGGGGGATCTGGAGGCAGGTGGAGAAAACGAAACATTCGACATTCAGTCTGGCCAGGGGGGTAGAGTAACTACTCGATACATAGTCAGCTCATGGGGGTGATGGCGGTGGTAGGCCTCGCTTGGGATACGGCCGACCGGACAGTCGGCATTACGGGGTGAATCCAGTGATGGTGGATTGAGATTGATGGCAGCAGGGAGGGATGTGGTATACTAGCAGATACCGTAGAATCGTGCTGGATGGCTGTTACGGGTTCTATTCATCCTTGCAGGAAGTAGATTACTAAGAGGTAGATAATAACTGTACGGTATGTATGTACTCGACGAGGAATGCCGTACTGCAACCACAACATCACACATCACACATCGCACAATCGCACAATCGCACAATCGCCCGCTGCACCGGCATCACGAACACACAAGATATCAACCGGGGTGGGAAATCTGGCAAATGCCATCGACCTCTCGACGTTTCCATTTGCCAATCGCTCGCAGGCCAGGGCCCAGGGGGGTGAGTGACTTGGTGGCATGATGCAATACCATCCGACGACTCGCCTTTGGGGAGTTCTTATTTTTATCTTTGCTCAAGCCCGGCCAAGTCAACGCTCAACGCTCTCCTCCGCGCCCGCACGCCGTCCCCTCCGGAGTCAGTCCGACTTCGATGTCGTGCTTTTTTTTTCTTTCGTTTTTCTTTTCCGTGGCTCACCGTCGTCGTCGAGCCTGAGCCAATCAAGCGGCGCGAATGCGTGGTGATTCTCTTCAAGGCGAGAGTTGTGGCAGCCAATGGGCGGCGTTGAAACGGCCTCTTGGCGTCACAGCAATTTCGGGAGGGATGGGGGGCGGATGATCCCTGATTTATCTCCACCTCGACTCTGGAGAATAGAGTGAAAGGCAGTCGCACACGAGATCGCTATCGACGAGTACTCTACCTCCTCTACATAGTTACTATAGTAATTATCTAGGTAGGTAGGTTCTCCATCAACAGCCTCACTTTGGACGTCGTTTCGGTGCCGAGTCGCGGTTGTCGTCGGAAGTGCTCGATTGGCCCACCGCGACTGGCTGGTTGCCGCGTAGAGTACTCTGGTCGAACTCGACTCGACTGGTCGTCGTCGAAATGACATGGGCATGGTCAAGGTCATGGTCATGGTCATGGGAATATGTCTCGATGGGGGGACATGGGGGCATGGGGGAGAACTCAAGTCTCCAGATAGCCGCCGGGAACCAGGCACGTGCGATCAGGGAAGAGATATCTTACCACCTCCACTACCACGACCACCATCACCTCCACCACCACGAGTCTATAGTACCGTACCGACCGGAGAAGCCGCAGCTCAACAGCTCAACAGCCTCAAATTCTGGTCCGGATCGTTTTCTGCCTATCACGGCCCCCCCTCCCCGTCTAGACCCTGGAGCGGCGGATGTACTAACGAGAGAGTACCGGTAACTACTATACAAGTAGATGTGTAGAGAGACCTCTTCGGCCTGCTTGTTTTGCAAATTTGAGGGAACAGAGGGGGGGGGGGGGGGGGGGCAGCAAAGGTGTGACCCGACCCCACCCCATCCTGCTCGTCTTTCCGTCTGCCCGTCCGCCCCCGGCGAATCCGACGGATTCTGCACCATGATTGATAGATGAAGAAGGGACGCCTTGCTCGATCCTTCAGCCGAGGCGAGGCGTGTCTTGGACTCCACGCCTAGTTACGCATGGAAGTCCGTATGTGGGGATGGCAGCCAGCTTCCGTCGCTAGAGTAACTAGCCCGGAGCGGGACTCGGGGAGTCGGAGCCCGTCATAACGAGACATTTTAGTAGCCGGTTGGCTGGCTGGCATTGGCGTGCAAGGCTGGCTATCCTACTCTCCGTCGTGACGAGGCTACTAACTACTGTACAGAGACATCTTGTTTCTTCGCTCACGTTGCCGTTGATGGTCGCCGGTTGGTAGTGAACATGGGGAAATTGCTGGTCCGGTGTGCACTATTAGTGGTGGTGTCGGAGTCGGAGTCGACGAGGTGGGATTCTGGGATGGGGATGTGGAATGTGGGGTGTGGAATGTGGGCAGCTAGAGCCATATGGAGCGCGTGGTTGGCAACGAACGAACGAACGACCACCGGCTCCTTAGATTGCCCCTGGGTGCGTCGTCCAGCCAGTTGGTCCGTTTCTCCCGAGTGATCGAGACACGACGTCACTCGACACGGTGAGCAAGAAGCTTGCCTCGTCGTCGTCGTCGTCTTCGGAGAAGGAGGCGGGATTCGCTGCTGCGCAACCCAGTATCGCTTAACTTCCCGCCACGCACGCAACCACCGCCGTCGACTCTTGCGCGGAACACGGTACACGACAGCTGTGAGTGCATCGCTGCCTCTACCACTTATGCCCGGTACGGCGGTACACCACAGCTGTGAGTGAGTGAGTGAGTTGCATCGTCGCTTCCAACCGCATATGCAGTGACATCGTGACATCGTGACTTTTTCCAAAGTGGACAGTCGGTCGGTCGGTCGGTCGTACTTTGCTTTTCAAGTCGAAGCTCGAGCTCCCTACCGCGAGCAGTATCTGCACTCTCGAGGAGCCCTCCCCCCCCGTTAACTCCGATCCGCCACGATCAACGCGGTGCCAGCTGCCCCACGTCCGCCAGTCCACATGCACATACCCGGAGAGTGTCGAGGCTGGAAGTCAACGCACGGAATCCGACAGCAGCCTGCCCTACAGCGAGTGAGTGAGTGCGTCCATCGGGGAGATCTTCCGCTGCTGCTGCTGTGCACTCCGCTGGGAAGCGGTGGTGGAGTGGGAGCGGTCAGAAGGAGCAAAGTCGGGCTGGGACGGCGCGGATGACTGGCAGCAGCAGCAGGTATGGTCAGATACATTCTGCAGGTAGAGGGGAGATTCGCAGTATCTTGCCCCGCAGTGCTGGTTCTGCTGCTGCTGCTAAATGGAAAGCTTCGGATCACACAACTTACAAGTCTCCGCCCGCTCTCCGGCGTTTTTTTCCGCTGCAATACTCCGAGTGACTGCCTATGCGTTTCGTGTCGTGTCGTAATCTGCCCCCCCACCCCCGGAATGGATTGGCCCTTATGCGCGCATACGCGGGTCGCAATGCATTATTCCATCATCATCGAGGAGTACATGTAGGTACATGTGCAACGTATGCATAAATCTCCATGAGAGGATCCCCATGGCAGGTCAGCCGGCGGAGTGCGGAGTGCGGAGTGGGTGAGTGAGTGAGTGAACCGCCACTGTGGATGGACTGCACTGGACTGGTCACGAGACGACGGACGTGCCCCCTATTCCGTGCATATGTGGTCTTTCCCGTGACGTTGGACGGAGATGGAGTACATACACGTAGGTACACGTACATCCCCCCCTCCTCGTACCTTCCTATCCCCCGGCCAACGTAGCATATAGCGGGGGGGATATATCGCAAGCCCCCCCGCCCCCGCGAGCACGCACGGTATATATGTACTCCATGTACGGTATGTACGTACGTCTATTTAAGAGCACCAACCAACCAACCAACCAACCGGCACGTAGCACCAGAACATCTCGGTAATCTTCGCTTGCTAGGCCATGGGGAAGGGGGGGAAGGGGGGGAGGGTGGGTCAGTAAGTAAGTCGGTCATGTTTTTCTTCTTCTTCTTCTCTCCCTCTTCCTCAGCCTTGGGACTTAGGATTTGAGATTGATTCAATCGGAATTGCTGCTGCGCCGGGCTCAGCCTCTACGGGATAAAACGGGTTTCAACTCCGTGTCAGTGGGTGGGTGGGTGGATGGGTGGGTGGATGTGTGTCGTGTGGGTGGGTGTGTCTGTGTTGCTCTTACTACGGCGGCATGAGGTCTCAGACTCAAACTCTGCTCCTCTCTAACCTCGAGAGTCAGCGTCAGAACCGAGGAGTCGGAAGCACCCTCACCGCCCGCAGCATCAGCATCAGCCATCAGCCATCAGCTGCAATACCTCCGCCAGCGATATGAATTCCGTGCGCATCCATCAATCCATCCATCCATCCACCCATCCATCCATCCCTTTCCGTTCCGTACGTACGTGTACGTAGTAACTTAGGTTGGTAGGTGGGCGGTCAATTCCGGCCGTGAAGTATGCGGGTAGCCGTCCGGAGTGGTACACGAGGAGTAGGACTCAGGAGGGTGGGAAAAGTGAAGAGGACGCAAGACAGGACCAGACCTTACTATGTACTCGGTGACGGTTGCCATGGGAGAGCTAATAAAGTCCCAAATCGAGGAGTGCAGCAGGCATCTACTCCATGTAGATAATAGTAACAAGAGTGCTATGTGGTGAGGGTATAGTACACCTGGCCCTCTCGTCGCTAGCACCGCCGCGTGCGAGCCATGCGATGTCTACAGCAGTTTACTAGTACAGCAGCCGCAGCAGCAGCAGCGAAGCAACAGAAAAAAGGAAAGAAAGAAGAAACAAAGGTTTTGTTATCATGTATTCCCTCGTCCCCCACCACGCGGAACTCATTGCTTCGCCGGGTCAGCTTGGTGATCGTGCCTGTGCCGGTGGGATGGGTGAAACGGATGAACTGTGGATGTACCATTGTACCATCCATGAGCGACCATTGGCCACAGGAACAGGGCAACAGGAACCGGGCAGGGCTATGATGTACTCTACCTACGCATGTACATACCGAGGTATGTATAGTTAGTACGTATTCTGTTTCCCGCATTCGTTTCGGGATCTCCAGCGGGAAGCAGCTTGGGGATCGTCAGGAGTATCAGGAGTATGTCGAGCAGTAGGAGGAGTAGGAGGAGGAGGGCTGGTGGATGTACTTAGCTTAAACATCGCGTATATAGGTCCCACGGTTGTGTATCCGGTACGGTATGGTACGCTACGGTACGGTGGTTGTGGTTGTGTAGCCACCCACCCATCCGGGAGTGCTACCATTCGGAGGAGTCTAGGGAGCGGAAGCTGAGGAATTAGCATGGACAGGATAGCTAGATACGCTGCCAGGTGTAGGAACGATGATGCTGGTCAGTGGTTACTTTCGAGCTGGGTAGGAAAACTACCAACTAGACCAAGAACTCCCGTTGCCCCCCCCTTGCCCCCCTAATCAACCGGTACATACCTGTTTGGCTCTATCCCGATTCCCGCCTGGAGCCCCCCCCAAATCTATCTAGTATCGGTACATACCTGTTTCCCTCCCTCCCGATTCCCGTAGGAAGTGATGATGATGCGATGTGCCTCCAGTCGACTCGGATAGGGGGTGGAGGTAGCTTTGCGTGCGTATCTACATGTCGGCAGTGCTCTCTCGCAAGACTTGGGGTACGAATAGTGCTTACTTTTTAGCAGTCCGCTCAGCAAAAAAAAACCGTGAGTACCCTGCAAGGCTGCATCATCCCGGCCCCCCAGGCATGCACGGAGGATCACTCGCTTGGCCGCCTACCCTCCCTCACCCCCCGGTCCCGGTCCGGCTAAGTTACTAGAGCAATTCCCACCCTCTCGCCTATGAAGTTACCGGTACCTTTCTCACTTGACCTCTGCTGCACCGGCGGGTACCTACATTGATGCCTACTTACATACAGGTCCCCTGTCCATCCATCCATCCATCCATGCCCCCCCCCCCCGCAACACCGTCGTCGACTCACCTTACCAGCCAGCCAGTCTGCCTGCCTGAAAGAACGGAGAAACCTACGTACCGCACGCACCGTAACTAGTAACGACACGACGTCACGGCCATGGGGGCTACGAAAATCCAGCTCAATCTCCAGACTCCAGTACCTATTCGCCTATGTATGTATTGAACATTCACAATGCACATTTCCTTTCGCAACTAGGGCACGTGCGCCCGCCGGGGAGTTCTTCTTCCAGAGCTGATGGTCGATGTAGTTTTGTACCGGAGGGGACGGAAGGCGATGGTGTCACACCCCCCCAACTCACCCCCACGGAGGAAAAAGCGCACGGTAAAAAGGAAAACGTAGCCTGCCATGGTGAGTGAGTGCGTGAGCTCTGCGTCGCCACTGGACGATTTCCCGAAACGAAACGAAACGAAACGAATCTCGGATTCTCGGCCGGGCGGGGTTGGGAGGGGGGTCGCGTGGCAGCCTTGCAGGGTGAGTGAATTGAGTGAATTGAGCTCTACGAAACTACGCAGCTACGCCGCGCGGGGGGGTTCGGTGGTAATTTATCTATCCATCCGCTGGGTTCTGGGATCGATATCTACGGTAGATATACATAGTACTATGTAAGTGGTAGGTAGTGATACTGTATGTAAGTACTGCACCGCCGCCTCGTCATGTATCAGCCTTCAGCTGAGGCTTCGCCTTGTTTTGCGCATCTTCTTTTCCATACATATGACAGCCCACCGTCCACGCCTCTATCAGGGCTTCCCCATGCATACACACATAACCTGTAGATACATAATCCACCAGTCCGGCCCAGCCCGGCCCAGCCCAGCCAGCAGTGCCCTCGCTTGTCAAAACCAAGACGGGTTACTGGGATTGATCATTGGGCTGGCTTTCACACGTTCTGCCCCCAAGCTGAGGCTCCCACACCCCACGCCACGTCCACGGGCTACATACGGGCCATGAGTCATCTACGGAATACGGTGGTGGCGGCCTTCCCGTTTCGGCCGTGGATATCTAGGTAGAGTAATTAACACAACACGGTTAGCCCATACATATTTCCAGAAATCCAATCCAGAAAGCCTGACATCTTATTTCCCCCCACCGAATGCTCCTCCATCTATGTATGTAGTCTGCTCTCCGCACCTCCTCGGCGAGAGCGCGCACGTGTCTCCCCCGTGCGCCTGCGTGGAGTGGCAGAACCGGGTTTGTAACTTCGCAGTCGGTGCATCAGCATAATGCATTGACCGGCGTTGACCGGTGATGAATGCGTCGGGACTCGGGACTCTAGTTGATCGCGCGCGCCGAGCGGGCGGGTGGGCTAGGGCGGGCGGGCTAGGGCGGGCTAGGGCGGGATAGGGCGGGCGCGGGCGGGACGGTGGGACGGTACATACGTGGGCGGAAGAGATCTCAGGCTTCGGGGTAGAACGAAGCGTGGAGTTCCAGCCTACCCCCCCCCCCCCCCCCCCCCCCCCCCCCCCCCCACCGCGCTCCGCGGGGCTGCCACCAGCGACTCTGCGAGCAAGGCAAGGCAAGAAAAGCACCAAGTCATATGTACAATACATATCCGCACGGAGACTATCCAGCCGAAGAGGCCGTGCGCTTTACTATGTACTCTATGTACCGGTACATGGGTGGATCTACTAACTAGTAGTAGTGATAGTGCTAGTAACTACTCTACTAGGTGGATGGGTGGATACTAGCATCCATCCGGCGCTCTGCGGATATCAAACAGACTGCGCACTTCGACCTGCGGACTGGAACTACATACGGACTGGGACTGGGACTGCGGACTGGGACCACGGACCACGGACTGCATATCCGTTCCGACTCCAGGGAGCACATCAGGCTGCAGCCTTCAAATTTTCTTCACGATGATCATCGTTCCTACTAGTTAGAGGAGGACCTGGGTCTGGGGTACCTAGGCGAGCACTGCCGACCGAAGTGGCGGACATGAGCTCGCTCGCTCTATGATAGATATGTGCATACATATCATACTAGACTTAGGCACGTCGCCGCTTATGTATGTATGTAGAGTATGTGCCTGCACCTGCCGGTGGCGGCGGGCACTTATGTACGTATCTGGCCGACCGGGCCAGGTATGTACATAACGACGTGTTCTTTTTTTTGTTTCTTTTTTCTTTCAATCATTCCCGCACGTGGACGACACTGGCAGTAGATGATGGGTGAAGTATTTCCTTTGCTCCTTGATAATCATAGTTATCATAGCCATAGCATACTTTAGAAACGCCGTTTCTACACTACATGTCGTAATCTGGAGTCTGGGGGACTGGATTATCCTATCCTATCCTATCCAGCCAGCCCGGGGCGGCGAGAAGCCAGCCAGCAGAGAGAAGAAAGAAAGGAAAAAGAAAAAGAAAAATACCTAGCCGAGAGAGAGACAGAGACACGGAAACAGAGACAGAGACAGAGAGGGAGAGAGAGAGAGAGAGAGAGAGAGAGAGAGAGAGAGAGAGAGAGGGGGGGAAATGACCAATCAGAACCCCCACCATCCCCCCATCCCATCCGCCTTCCCATCCCATCCCCCGGAAACACGAGACCCGAAAGGAAAGAAAAAAAAGAACCTGACATTAATGAACAAAGAAAACAAAAAAAAAACAGTCGACGGACCAATGCTAGTAGCTGCCAAATGACCCAGGAAATTTGTTTGGAAGAAAAGAAGGAGAAATTGGAAAAAGAAGAAAAGAAAAGAAAAGAAAAAGATTGAAGGATCGAAAATGTCGAGAAAATAAAAGAGAAATAAGTAAAACCCGTTACCCATATATAAAAATCACAAAAATCAAAACATAAAAGGAAAAGCCAACAGAAAGAAACACCATCCCCACCCCTCCTATAGAAAAGAAAAACCCCTTCCCCCCCACCCCCAAACCCACAAAGCAGAACCACAGTAACACCGATATTTGCCTGAGCAACCCCAATTTAGTTAAGTAGATGATGATGATGACGATGACGATGGAATAGTTGAAAGAAACGACGACGACGACGGCGAAGAGTGATAAGGAAAAGAAGCGTTTCGATGTTTGCGCTGGTGCGTATGTTGATGTTGATGTTGATGATGTTGATGTTGATGTTGAAGTTGCGACCGACCGGTGACCCGCTACTCCTTATCGATACCCAATCCAAATCCCTCGCTCCCCTCCTCGCTGACCTGGCTGAGTTCGCGCTTCATATCGCACGGCTGGGGGAAGCCGTCGCTCGTGCAGCTAACGGCGCTGTTTGTGCTCGCCGAGTTGGGGCCGGAGCCGGGCAGCATCTGCGTGTTGATGGGCTGCGGGCAGATCTCCTTCCACTTCTTTTCGCACGTGCTACCGGGGATCTTCTTCTTGCAGCCAATCTCGAGCATCCGTTGGGAAATCAACTCCCACTTTTGCTTCTCGATGTGTTCCTTCGCTTCCTTGAGGTATTGGATCTAAGAGTGATGTCATGTCAGCATGTGGAAACGTGAAAAAGAAGAGAAAAAAAAGAAAAAACCGAATCCGGTTGTTGGAAGGGTAAAACATACATCTTCGACTTCCCATACCCGCATCTTCTCCTTGAGTCGCTTGTATCGCATCTGGAGAGTCGGGACTCGGAATTCGCCTCGGCTGAGATCCCGGAATCTCTGGGCGATAGCCTTCCACGGCAGCCCCTCCTCATCCTTGAGTTTGAGAAGGAGGTTATCGTCCTCGGTCATGGTCCAGGCCTCCTTGCTGGTGCTCTTCCTCCGCTTTGAGGGCTGGGGGGATGACGATGGCGTGATGATCTCGGGCTGATAAGGCCGCTTGAAGTTGGTCTGGCTCGGAAGGGGACACATGCTCGACAGCTGATATGTCGTCATCGGAGGCAGGCTGTGGTGGTGCGGCGTCGTGTTGCCGGTGTGGTCGTCATCCTGCTCGGAGTGGATGGACTCGCGGTCCTGGGAGAAGGATGGCGACTTCATGATGGGGGCCACATGCTGCTCGACCATGGACTGGGCCGCATGTGGGAGATGCTGCGACGGGTATGTGTGAGGGTGGGTGGGCCCGTGGGAGTGAGTGTGGCCGTGGTGCGAGTGATGATGGTCACCGAGTGTTGCGTGGTAGCTCAAGGTGCTCTATATGAAGGAGTCAGTTTATTTTTCTTCTTTTCTATTCTTTCTTTCCATGGAGAGAGAGAGAGAGAGAGAGAGAGAGAGAGGAGAGGAGAGGAGAGGAGAGAGAGAGAATTCTGCGACGGCGGCCAAACACGTACCGACAGTGGTTGCCACTCCTGAGCTTCCGTGACTCCTCCGTGATAGCTGTTCATGACTCTGTAGCTGTTTGCGTGCGCCAGCACGTCCTGTAGGTCGAACGTGGTTGTCGACGAGAACACTGTCGGGTACGCTGCACTGGAGTGTGCGGATAGCAGCTGATGGAAAGCCGGTGCCCACGGTAAAGACCGTGGTATAACTTCCAGTTCCTGAATTTTGATTGATTTTGGGGGGGAAGACGTGGGAAGAATTGAGTCCCGTATCTTTCTTCCAGATGAAGAAAGAAATCGCTGGGGGGCTGTGGATGTTGTTTGAAGTTCGTTCTCGGTGGATGTCGGTGACTAGTAGGATGGAAGGGCCGATCTGTAGTGTTGAAGCGCTTGGTCGTAGGCGGATGGACAAAGTGTGGAGACGAGGAGGGTGATGCTGCGGGAGAGGATGGATGGCAGGATCTTTGGCGGCTGTCGGATCGGATATGTAGTGGCAGTGGTAGTAGTAGTAGTGATGGTGGTAGGGTAGTAGTAGTGGTAGTAGTGGTAGTAGTAGTGGTAGTGGTGGTAGCAGTGGCAGTAGTAGCAGCAGTGAGGATATGAGGCAGTCAGAAGAGCTCTCGGAGGCGGGCCGCAGCTGCTAAATAGCTATGCGATGCGATGTGGAGTAGGAAGTCTGTGGTTTTAAGTGTACAGCCCAACAGCGGTACCGCGAGCAGGTAAGTGGTGAGGATTGCGAGAACCCTGGCCGTGGATGGGATGCAGTCGATGTTACACGGCAGACGAGCGAGGGAGCAAGCATAAACTCGGTTCTTTCAAAGATTGTCCCTAACTGTCTTTGCTTTTTTCTTTATTTTTCTTTTGGCCTGTGCAGTCAGTGAACTGCGGCCCCCCCCCGCCACCACCCTTGTCGCATCCCCCTCCCACCCCCCCCCCCCCCCCCCCCCCCCCCATGCGCTCCCATACACGTCCGATAGAGCGAACAGCGAGTAATATGTAAGTAAGTCAGTGCTTGCTTAGTTGTGGATGGGAGAGAGTGAGAGAGTGAGAGAGTGAGAGAGTGAGAGAGTGAGAGAGTGAGAGAGTGAGAGAGTGAGAGAGTGAGAGAGTGAGAGAGTGAGAGAGTGAGAGAGTGAGAGAGTGAGAGAGTGAGAAGGTTGCGCAGGGGCCGCGGCGGTTTCCTTCCTCGTGGACGGCCAGCCCATGCCATGTCCACCGTTCCTGCCTGCTTGCCTGCTTGCCTGCCTCTGCCTACCTGCACTGCTTGCCTAGAGTACCTGCCTGCCGGGTCTCCGTCGTCGTCAAGTCCGAGTCTCCCTATCGTCCATCCTCCGTCCCCCGTCTTCCGTCTCCATCCCCGTCCTGTCCGAGGGGCACGCCCTCTTTCGGCGAAAACATTCGTTCGTTCTCGACTCGGAGTTGGTCCACTGATCTTCTTGGTTAGCTCGGAGCCTGGTTAGAGTGGTTGGTTAGTTAGCGATCCCATCTGGCCAAGGAATGCCCGGTACGGCCCTCGACTTGTCTGCGTTTCACAGCCCAGCGTCTCTAAGCGCCCCTGTTTGTCCCCTAGAGCTGCGCTTGACAGGGTCACCACGATGCCTAGGTAGCGACCACCGTGATCCTTGACCCGACGTAGACTCCGACTCTCCCTTTCTCTGCCTCGAAAATCCCCTCTCTCTCTGCCTCGAACATCCCCTCTCTCTCTTCTCCCTCCTCCTCCTCCCCCGTTCCGCGTGAATCCCTCGGGGTGGGGGGGCCAAACGGGCTGGCCGTGGCTTGCTGGCTGTGGCTTGCTGGCTGTGGCTTGCTGGCCGTGGCTTGCTGGCTGTGGCTTGCTGGCTGTGGCTTGCTGGCTGGCCACTACGCTCGGACGGTGGCCGGACGGTGGCCGGACGGTGGCCGGACGGTGGCCGGACGGTGGCTGCTCGCTGGCACGCCGCCGACTCGGTGGGCGGGCGTGCAGGGCACATCATCTCAGCGCAGGGCCGCGGCGGGCGGGAGAGGACACGGTTAGGTATCGCAGGCAGAAAGTGGGTACTACTTTTGGTGTCCCCCCCTTGTTGGAGTGGCGGGGGTCACTGGTCAATCAGCAGCAGCAGCACAGCGCCATGCCTTTCTGTGACCTCAGCGCGAAAACCCCAAACCATCTCCCGGGTCACCACTGTCCACTCGACTCGGTGATGACCTAGGGGGGGGCGACGAGCGACGAGCGACGAGGGACAAGCCCCATCTGGTATCCATCCATCCATCCATCCATCCATCCATCTCTTCTTGCACTGCACCTCCGCATAGGTTTCCTGTCATCGGTTCTTACATACTTCCTACCTACCCGCCTGGCCCCCGTCGCCGCCGCCGGTGAGAGTCCATTCCTTCCTCCTTCGCGCCCCGCCTTCGCAGCGAGCTCACATCCTGCTCTGTGCTCATGCTCTCCCTGACTATTATGCTACACACGCAAGTCTCGACGTCTCCGTCCATCCATCCGTCTAGACGTGCATACGATTAGCGATTCTATCTAGTGGGCGTCGCGCTCCAGGCAGGCACGATGTTCGAATTAATTAATTAAAAGGTAAACAGCCGAACTGGGGGAAAATAAAAAGTAAAAAGCAAAAAGTAAAAAGTAACGACAGCTAAAGTCCGGCACGGCCACCACGCGCCGTCATGGTCGTCCCACAATACCGTTGTTTTCCCGCGATACCTACAAAATTCTGCTAGACGGAATGGGGAGCTACGTGCTATGTAGCGTTCTCGCCGGGCGCCATCATCATCATCATCATCATCATCATCGTCGTCGTCATCGTCGTCGTCGTCGTCGCGCCAGTACAGTCCAGTCTTTCTCGCACCGCCAAACGAACGAGCGAACGAACGAGTTCAAGGAACTTTTGCATCGACCGACCGCCCGACCGATTGACACATCAAACGAGCCGGAGCTCATTCGGCATTGCTAATAGGTCGCAGGCCAACAGCCAGGCGCTACGCTAGGAACTCATGTGGGTAAACTGTTCGGACTCGCATCGCATGCCGCCCATCTGAATGCTCCGGTCGTGTGGGGATCATCCTCGAGAATCCTCCTGTCGGTGACGTGAGATGAGCATGAGCGTGAGCGTGAGCGGAGGGGTGAGTGGAATGAGTACATAACGCGCCGGGGGTTGATTTTCTTTCTTGCGCTTCATGGGGAAATCCCCGAGCGCAACGGCGCGGAGGGGGACAAGATGAAGATGATGAAGAAGAGGAATCCCTGGTTTCGTCTCTCTTTCTCTTTCTCTTTCTCTTTCTCTTTCTCTCTCTCTCTCTCTCTCTCTTTCTCTTTCTCTTTCTCTCTCTCTCTCTCTTTCTCTTTCTCTTTCTCTTTCTCTTTCTCTTTCTCTTTCTCTTTCTCTTTCTCTCTCTCTCTCTCTCTCTCTCTTTCTCTTTCTCTTTCTCTCTCTCAGCCCATGGTTCATCATCCACAATCGCGCTCCCGGAGGACCCCATCGATCCCCCCGAGTCCTCACATCACCCCCTCACCCTCCCTCCCTCCTCCAAATCCATCCTCCCTCCATCAGCAGTAGAGTACACTACACTACACTACACATACTCTACAGCCCAGTCCAGCCCAGCACGGCGAATCACCATTGCGCGTCTACTAGTACCTATCGTACTCTACATAGTGTAAGGTGCATGTCGCAGAGTACATAGACTTGCCCATGGGCCACTCCCGTGACTTTCAGTATCTGCAGGTCGTGCATGAGGCCGTCAGGCCGTGAGGCCGGGAGTCGGGAGGCCGGTTAAGCCGCTTCCGCACCCTTGTCCATGTCCCAATGTCCATGCTTCCCTCCCTCCCTCTTCGCACTCAGCGATAATCGATAGGCAAGACTGGGAATGGAAGTGGGTTCCCGATCGAGTCGAGCTTCTTTCGCTGCACGGAAACACTCGAGCCAGTTGGGGCCATCTCTTTTTTTATTGTTTTTGTTCTTTTGTGTTTTTATTTTGTTTTGTAGAGAGTACAGTAGAGAGTACCTAGAGTTCGGTACTTGTAATGAGGGGCTCGGCAAGTAGAAGAGGGGAAGTCCCTATTCGTTCCATGTCTGCGTGGCACTTCCTCTCCTGACGAAACGTGACGATTCCGTCCGCCGTCTCGGCTTGGTACGTACATTCTCAGATGGCCGACGAGGTCTTGGAACAAGCACTTCTTTCTTTCCTTTCTTTCTTTCTCTTTCTCGCGACAACATCCGGGCGGTAAAACCAGCACCAGCACCAGCACCAGCACCACCACCACCAGCACCACCACCAGCATGTGCATGTGACCCGTCACAAAACCCAGTCGAGAGATCGTCACCACCAATTCATCCCGTCCGCGATTTCGCACGCCCGCACGCACAGTTGATATGGTATGGTATGGTATGGTCTGGTCTGGTCTGGTCTGGTCTCGTCTATTCTGTATTGTCTTTCGTGTGCTGGCTTCGTGCTGCGCAGCACAGGCCGGAAATTGTCTATCGCACCTACATACATATAGCGACGACGACGGCGGTGTCGGCGGCCTCGCCAGCCGCGCGCGCATCGCACCATAGAGTACATTGCCGATCCGGATCGGATCGGCCCGCGCCTCGAGTCCGGTGCAGTCTGGTGCAGTCCAGTTGTTTACGGTTACATATATCCGTGACCGTCACGGGTGGCATGGCATGCCGGTATGTAGCGCGGCGAGGCGGGGCGTGGATGGGGGATGGGGCTTGGATGGGCGGGATGGGGGGCGGGGAGGGGGGGGAAGGGGCGGATTACACATGCGAGCTGGTCTGGCTTTCTGCTTTGCTTCGATTTTACTTTGCGCGCGAGGGGAGGATGCATGACGCTCCGCCTGTAGCCTACAGAGTACAGTACTCTGAACTAGCACAGGGCTCAGCCTGCTCCCTATCTAGCGGGCTGACAGGGGCTGGTACCGTATTGCGGCGCTTAATTAGTTAGAGTAGAGTACGGTAGCTCCCTTGCGATCCCCTCCCTCCCCGCGCGCTCAGCTGCATGTCGAAATCGCAACGAAACGTTCCAGAAAGATCCTGAGTCCTGAATGATTGATTTGTGCATTCTGTTCGCTCGCTGTTCGGTGCGGAGGTGACGAGGGGGGCAGGGGGAAGGGGGAAGGGGGGGGGGGGGGGGGGGGGGGGGGCGTGACTGGACTTTCACCATCGCGCAGAATACGGATTGTCTCGTAGAGCACATAAAGTACATACTGTACATAGAGTAGTTGCGCCGGAGGATTTGCTCGCTGGGTGGAGTGTGCAGTGGCTTTTGCTGCAGGTCGAGCCACACCCACCCACCCACACACACACACACACACACACAGACACACACACGCCCACCCGTCATGTCAAGTCATGTCATGCCCACCTACTAACTTACTTATGTACCTGGACCTGGACATGTACTCGCCCCTCTACGGACAAAATCCTGAGGTAAGCCGACCGACCGCACGGCGAACGGCGAGCTCAGGCGGCAAGGATCCCCACCCCACCCTACCCCACCCCACCTAGACCAACGGGGTATCCATCCATCTCCCGCCTCAAAATTCTATCCATCCACCACCACCACCACCACCACCACCACCACCACCACCACCATGATACTCTATGCATGCTGCCTGCGGGCGCCGGGCGGGACAGGAAATAACAGGAAACTTACTTACTTACATCCATACCAGCGCGCTCGATCAATAGGACGAAACCACGTCTTCAAACATATCATACATACATACATCTGTCATCTCTGTCGTCTCGGTCCGTACATATGTACATGAGTAAGTTTGCGTACCTGCAGCAGCCGCTCCGGCTTTGTTTTTTGCACGGTGGACAAACGGACAAACGGGTGTGGGTCGGTGAGGTGGGAAGAAAGGCCTCAATTCCCACTCAATCGATGCGGGCTGGTAGGTATGCTGGGTGTCGTTGATAGTGCTGCTGCTGGTGGTGGTGGTGGTGGTGGTGGTGTCGGTGGTGCTGATGCTGCTGCTGGGTATGCAATGCTATTCTATGCTATGCGATGCGATGCGCCATATCTGGATTCTGGATCGGGAACTGCAGTGGAGTTTGATTGACGAACTGGGTAGTGGATGGTGGTGGTGGTGGTGGTGGTTGTGGTGGTATGTAGGTTTTGTTGGGCGCGCGCACCGCCGCTGCTCGGGCTCTGGATGTGCATGTGGATGTGTATGGATGTGGATGTGTATGGAGATGTGGAAGGAGATGCATTCCCATTCCCACCGCTGCACGGAACGTTCGCCAGAAACATCAATTGGAGGACGAGGCTTGGCCGGAGTCACGGACTCACGGAGGACATATTCGACGGGAGTTATTAGTGGAGACCGGTATGTAGCGACCCTGATGGGGCGGCCATGTCCTTGGCACTTGCAGGTGCCAGGTGGGGCTCGGAGCTGAGCGCCGCACGCGGCGTTTGCTACGGTTTATACTACATCCATACAGCCATCCATACAGCCTCATCCTCATCGGCATCATCATCTGCTGCTGCTGCATCGTCTTAGTTGCCGAAATCAACAAGAATCGAAAGTTATATACCCCGACGATCCGTCGAGCCTCGCCGGTCAAGAGACTCACGGCAATGTCCGAGCGTGCAGCGGAGCTGAGTACCTACTACCGTACCGACTCCTTTTTTCTTTCTTTTCGGAAGGCCACCGTGGTAACCACCACATATGGACGGGGAGACACGTTCGCTCGGCCGCAGTCGAAAGCGGCCGCCGGCGTTACTTTCTGTATGTGTGAATGCAGAGGATTGTACATGTCTAAAAATCTCCGGCCCAAAACCTATGTACTCTTTTTGGCATCTTACCAAGCGACAGTGACTATATGTATGTGCGCACGGTACGTACCGTACTATACTATACTCTACACTGAACCCAACAAGTTCCTCCTTACGGAACCCCAGCCAGCTCAACAGCGTCTGGTCCGTCTTTTCGGTCGTCCTACTCACCTACTTTGGTACATACTCATGTAGGTGTGTAGTTACGACGGTTCGACGACGACGGTTGGAGGCTTAACGAGGAAGTGGTGGTGGTGGTGGTGGTGGTGGTGGTGTTGGTGGTGGTGGACAAACGGGGCTATAGGTAGTAGGTACTCCAACATGGATCGAGGGACGGAGTATAGTAGGTCCTCTACTTTACCTAGCCGCAGTCAGTGGTCGGGGAGGTACCTGGTAGTCCACCTAGTAGATACATACATATTTCCTCGCGCCCTACCTATGTGCAGGGCTCCCATTACCAGCGTTTGTTTCTTCTCTTCTCTTCTCCATGTGAAGGAAGGTTTTTCGAAACTGCAGCAGTGGTGAGATGTCTGGACGCCTCTTCACTGCGCATCGCCATCGAAGCCATCGACGCCATCCACCCGGCGACCGGCCAGCCGTATGAAGATATGTACATACCAACCCTTCGCTGTCCTCTGGTCTTACATACCGCATCGCGCCCGCTATCTATCGAGTGGATCTTATCACAAGAACCTGGATCGCTGCTGCTACCTATAGCACCTCCATATATCTACACACAGTATGTAGGCAGAGAATGCGCCGTTAATATCCATCCTAATCCCGACCCGGATATCATCCTCATCCTCATCCTCATCACCATCAGCAGCAGCAGCAGCAGCAGCAGCATCACCGACGGCGACCCCCACAGCCAGCAGCAACAGCAGTAGCAGCAGCAGCAACTGCCAACTGATATTCACCGAGTGTCTCGGTACTACTACCGTTCTCTACCGTTCTCTACTCGTTGTAGAATAGCGACCGGACCCACCCACCCTCTTTCGACTAGTCGCCGTTTCGGTCATCTGCATAGACACTCATCCTGGTAGGTGGGTGGGTATGCTACATACGATGATGATGATGGGGACAGCTGCCAGCAGCGGAGCTGTGAGCACGCTGCGCTGGGGGGAGGGGGGGGGTCTCCAGACAGACTGCAGGTGACGTTTCCAGCGACAGCGATCTCATCCCCACGCGCGCGTTGATGATGACAAAGCCACCCGCCTTGCCTCACGCCGCGCCGCGCCGCCCGGTCGTGTGTGGTGTCTGGTGTGTGTTGTGGTGTGTGGTGTGGTGTTTCACCCCCAGCCAGAGCAGAAACGTCCCGGCGCCGAGTCGTGTTCCAGAAAGTCAACCGACCGACATCCCCTCAACGGATCCGACGTCAACGGTTGGCTCCTAGTTACTCGCGGTCGGCCCACAGACCACCGCCAGATAGATAGAACACTGCCAGCCCTGCCAGTACTAGTGCAGTGCCAGTGCCAGGTGAGGTGTGGGGTTTCAAAACCGATCGTCTCCTCACGAAACAACCCCGGCGCCTCACCTCACCTCGTTCTCGACCACCACCACCACCACCTCCACCACCAACACTACCACCACCACCAAGAAAATCCATATGCAAGAACGGTGGAAACAGCAAAACAGAAAACAAAACATTTCGCGCTCCAGCCAGAAACATTACCTACGTACATAACGATGCGCGTGTTGATGGATGGCATAGGTAGATATGTCAGAGCAATTCGGTGATTCGGTGATTCGATTGACCACTGATCACTGACCGCTGACCAGTGCCATGGTTTTTGTTTTTGTTTTTGGTTTTATCGTGTCGTTCGTCCGTCTTCCGCTGGACCCTCGGGAGAAAAGTAAGAAAAGGAACGAAAGACGAAAGAAAGGAAAGAAAGGAAAGAAAGGAAAGAAAGGAAAGAAAGGAAAGAAAGGAAAGGAAAGAAAGGAAAGAAAGGAAAGAAGAAAGGAAAGAAAGGAAAGAAAGGAAAGAAAGGAAAGAAAGGAAAAAGAAAAAAGAAAACCAAATAAATAGCCGTGCGTGGTGTAGGTATAATCGGGAGGCACTAAGATGAGATGGGGATGTTGATGGGGATAGGGTGCAGCCAGCCAGCCAGCGAAAAAGCGAAAAGCTAAATAATGGAAAGAGAAAAGAAAACCGATGAACGGACAAACTACAGTGTCGCATTATCCGCCGGGGGCCCAGCAGCTATGCATGTCTCGACCGAAACCGTTAGGTAATTCATGCATCCCGCCCCCGGGTGTCCCCTCCCCTCCCGACCGAGCGCCGCAACGGCTAATTGTCGCGCGTCTAGGCCTCTCACTGCCGCGTGCTGCGTGCTGAAGGAGGTCTCCCCTGCGCTCGTGGCGGATGCGGGGTTGCTTGGGGTGTGTGGTCCGGAGGAGAAGGTGTGCTCTGTGTGTGGTACGGTGTGTGTGTGTGTGTCCATTGCCGGCACCGGCGGTCGTACACACTACACATACTTACCTCCATACATACATCCCATGAGCCTTGGCACATTATTCACGTGAAGGCCAATTGCTCACGGTACCTACTTCGATACATATCATACCTTACTTACTTGCATCAGGTAAGCGAGTAGGTTATGTACCTACCTTAGGTAGGTAGAACACCACTTGCCCTCCACCCCCTCCTCTGTGCTACATGGAGGCTTCTCGCCAGTTTGACAGCTTTTGCCTATCAGCATCCGCGAACGCCATCATTCCACGGTCCACCGGACCGTACCGCAACGCATCGTATCGTTATCCGAAGGCCACTTACAGCCTTTGAACTTACTGCTCCTGTCACACTGCTTTGTGGTGGCTGCAGATGGGCGGAAAAGCCATCACATGCACTCGCACTCGTACGCCGCAAATTTCGCAGAGGCGCCGTGCAGCTGGTGAGGATGGGAGCGAGAGCGAGGCGGAGGGGGAGAAGGAGGTGGAGAAGAAGAAGGACGAGCACACGGAGGTCGAGGACGATGGAGGAAGTTTGCTATCGCGGAAGTAGGTACATACCAAGTACCCCGTCAATCACGGCGTGGAAAGCATCGCTACCTATGCACATACACGCTGCAAGCATGTTCGGGGCACGTATGCATGCATAATCACCGTCAGTCCGGCGAGTAGAGTACGCACATACACGCTGCAAGCGTGTTCGGACGAGAGCAACTACCGTTAAGCACAGCGGGCGTGTTCGGGGGGGGGAAAGCACACAAGCAAGCAACTACCGTCAATCACGACGAGTATGTAGAGTGCATACACGCTGCGAGCGTGTGGTTCGGGGATGCATCTGTCGCCAACAAGAAAACCAAATATGTATCATTGCTGTTTGCTCTGGTCCCGCCGCCGCGCCGGTTGCTTTTGTCCGCGGACGTGACATCCGCTTAAGACAGGTGGCAGTCTTTTCTCCTTCTCTTTGTTTTACTTTTTTCTCTCTCCCTTTCTTCACTTTCTCGTCCTTTTTTGCCCCCTCCCTCGCTCTTTCTTTGGCCTTCAACGGAAAGCCACCAGGCACACACTCGTTGGGATGCGGAAAAAGTGACTACCCCCAACTCGCTCCACGGAAACGGTCGACTCGATCTTCCCGGTGTGGATGGTTGTTTCACTTTTCAACTGAAACCTCGCTTCGCGTTCTCGCAAAGGCACACAGGCACACCTCTCGGTAAAAGTATTAGAAATTAGAATAAGGTATTGTTTTCCATGTGTGGTGGTGGTGGGATGGAAGGGAAGGGGAAACCGGGAAAAAAAAGGTTGAAAGCATGAAGCACGCATATTCATGAGCCAGCGCTTCGGAGTGTAAGACGCTGGCGGCTGCGACTCCGAACCGGAAGGACTGGACTGCACTGGAAGAATGATCCTCGCTTTCGCCGGGCGGCCGTCGTCGATCTTGCGGTAGCCATCGATGGGTCCGAGATAATCGGATGTCCTGGCGGACGAGTTCACTCTCCTACATCATACATGGAGTATGTAGACTGCTCTGCATACCCGGGTAGTGTAGATACTCGGTAGGCTCAGCAAGCGCATCGACCGAGAACCGTTAGCTTGGTATGTATGCCGATACACGCAGGAAGCCTCAAGCAGCGCAGAGGCGCGGGGGGAGGAGGGGGGAGGAGAAGGGAAGGTGGGGAGGGGAAGGCCCGAGAGCTGCCCCCCCCCCGAAGAGTGTGGTGTGGGTTAGGGTCTGCTATAGATTGACAAATCATGCCGATTCATGCGGTGATGAGGGTTGATCACTTCTTTTTGACGTGACGATCAGCATCGAACCTCTCCGCTGTGATTCGTCCGTGTGGGGTTCCCCTCTTGCAAGGGACGGCACGGTAGAGTTGCGAGCAGGCCCAGAACGAAAATGCGAGATGAGATGCGGTCCCGCCCGATCACTCCATCGAGCCTAGTTACTCGACATAGCTTCGATGCGATTTCGTCGTGGTGATGGTGGTGGTGGTGGTGGCGCGCTTTCCTCATGAGACGAAAGAAAGAAAGAAGAGAGAGAGATGGCGACTCTCACTGTGAGGCGGTTGATTGAGCGCGTGCGACGGAGCTGGCTGTTTTATGCAGCACGCACACAGCCATGCATATGGAGTATTTACTCCTTTACTCCGCGAACGATGATTGTTCCAGCCAGTATCAAACGAGCAAAACCGACCCACCAAGTTGCTTTTGTTCTCCATACTCTCCCCCCCCCCATTCCATCCCATCCATCATCGTCTTCCGCACTGTTCTGCCGGCACGGACTCTCCTGATCCCATCCCTCCGACGACTGCACTGCACTCACTCACTAGAGTAACGAACCGGAGATTTCCGAGCTGATACACGCCCGCTAGCTAGTTAGTTGGCGGCATACATCGCAGGGTTAGCGGGAGTCCGCCGCATTCGCCAAAGAGGTTACTTGGCTGTGAGACGCGGCTGGCCGGGGCTTGGGCTGAACGGGGCTGAATATGCGGCTCGATGATAGGTGTGATTCCGATTCCACCACTGCACTTCAACGTGAACACCGCCTCCCTCCCCCTCCCCCATCCCTATCCCCCCGTGCACGGGAGTTGAATTAACGACCACGGTGGCGGTATCATACAGACCATTTCCTCGTACGAGCTTTAACTTCTAGAGTCGCCCGTTATTGCTTGGCAAATGGATGAAGCCTGAACTTTGAAGCAGTGGCGAAGAAAATCTACCTACAAGTTGCCTAGGTACATAAATATGTACCTACATAAGTGCACCCAATCTTAACTATTTATGACTGACTCCTTACGAACTTTGCGCTCATACCTTAATCACAGTAGGTCACGATGATCGTGATCGTGATCGATCAGCTAGCATAGCATGTCATGGTGGCATGTTCGATTCATTGATTTAATCGAGTCTGCAATGCCGTCACTCGGGCCGACACGACACTACGGACGGTACTGCGGCTCATCCCACTGATCCGAAACGCGGAGGTATGTCCCAGAAGGAAGTGATGTCAGGTGGGTTGAAAAGAAAAGAAATAAAAATAAAAAGATATTGTACCTGAATGGTACCCGTCGGTGGCTGCTCTCGCTCTGTGTGGTCTACCTAGATACTTGTTTCATCGTCGGCGCGGCGATGTTTCTCTGCCGCCTGCCCCGTTCATTCCGCCCCGCTGGGATGCTTCACGTATATACCGATGTATGTAGAGTACCTTCTGCGTCCGGCCAGCACCCCGAAATCCAGCAGGCTGCCAAGTTCATCCGTGTATCGAGATACCCATCCTCAATATTATTTTTTGTCGCCGTAGCGGCGCTGATACATTTCTTCCGGACTCCAACTTCTCCGAGTCGTTCACATTGTTTCACTAAGTTCCTCACTCACTACTACTTACTATACTTACCCCGCATCTCCCTCTTCATATAAAGAGCTCGAAGGATGTTGCCATTCTGGCTCTCTGGACCGCCCACGATCACCAAGATTCACGAACGTACCACTTCCGCTTCCACTTCCACTTCAGCGAGCAGCCCGGGGATGATCTTCGCACCCGGTGCAATCCCCGACTACCTAGTGCTTTGTCGGAGGGGTATCTAGAGTATGTATGTATGTAGAGTCTGCATCTCGCTACCGGTCGGAGGCATGTAGGTAATCATACTACTTATATGTACCAGTGAGTACAGTACATACCTCGGCACGCCGAAAATCGTTGCACGGGCAGAGCAGGGCAGGGTTGCAGGCTGAACGGACCTCGGACAAAACGTATCGGCCACCCGCTGCCCAATACCTACTCTACCTATGTAGGTAGGTAATGCAAGGGAGGAGGAGAAGGAGCGGGAGATGTCTCGACCACCTGGTCCGTGGCGGGCAGGTCTCGAGACAGCCGGCTGCCCGGCTGCCTAACGGGAGATATGCAGACACTCAACTCACAGAGACACTCGATCAGCCACTTTGCGGAAGGACGGAGGGATGAGACGGACGGACAATTAATTCGCATTACTTATACTCTCTACTAGCGGATTTCGGGAAGCCGACAGACAGCTTTGGCGAAACTTTGTACTCTACCATACCCGCGTGGCTAATTTCCCCTCCCCCGCCCACCCCGCCCACCCCCGGAACCTGCCCGCGAGAATCGGGAGCCAAATCCCCAGGGTTTAATAGCCGTGAAACTAATATCTACTCTGCACACAGGCTACTCTGGACGATATATAAGTCTGACAGCCTTCGCCAGCAGGACTCTCGAAGCCACGCGAAGTATATTATATATCGGCGGTTTTTCTATGCCATATATACAAGGCAGGTATATTCCGTAATTCGGCCCACGCGCATGTGTAGAGTACTCTATCTACATACTGTACTAACGCACTAAAGGTGCAGTGTGGGGAAGCCTACCTACTATTCTTTTCTTCGAGGCGGGCGTGGGCGTGGGCGTGGGCGTGGGCGTGGGCGTGGGCGTGGGCGGGAA